TCCCACAAGGGAAAATAAAATACTGACTATGAAGAAAAAAATCCCACAAGGAACATAACTATTGTATTATAAAAATAAAATCCCACAAGGATTATAACAACACTGCATTATAAGAATAAAATCCCACAAGGATTCTAACAGTACTATATTATAAAAATAAAATCCTATATGGATTATAACAATACTGCATTATAAAAATAAAATCCCACAAGGATTCTAACAGTACTACATTATATAAAAATAAAATCTCATATGGATTTTAGCAATATTGCATTGTAAGAATAAAATCCCACAAGGATTCCAACAGTACTGCATTATAAAAATAAAATCCCACATGGATTATAACAATACTGCATTATAAAAATAAAATCCCACTCATGCAAAATATTATTGCTGGTTTATTTCAAAGAAATGTATTTAGTGATTATTTTAGATGGTGGTATAGGTGACATCTGTGTGTAAATTATTTCATATAGGGAGAGTTCAGATCTGTACCTTTTATGTTCTTATTGATGAAAATTTGATCTGTGATTTCTGTGGTGTATTTGCATAATTTATATATGTTTTTTCTGGGTGGTTGTTGTTTTGTTTTTTGTTTTTTTTTCCCTTTTTCTTCTCTAACCCCTTCAGGACGGGTGACGGACAAGGTCTGTCACAGAGGGGAGACCCTTAACGACGAGTGACGGACCTCGTCCGTCACGCGGTAAAATTAACCCCGGATCGCCGCTATCGCGGCGATCACAGGGTTAATGGTGCTCCGGTATGCCTGCTCAGGCTGCCCAGCACATGTGTTCGCTCTGACCGCAAGTCAGAGCGAGCACATGTGCTCTGTATACTCACCTACCGGCTCCCTGCACTTCCGGGTTCTGTGTGAAGTGCAGGGAGCCGGATCAGTGATGATCCTGCCCCCTGCTGTTAAAAAAAATAAAGTTAATTTAAAGTCCCCCCCCCCCTTTACCCATTTTAATAAAAAATTAACCCCTTCCCTGCCAATTGATCACTGACTACAGTGATCAATTGGCAGGGATTACATTTTACTATGATCTGATTTTTTTTTAACCCCTGAGGGTTAATTCTTTTTTTTTTAACCCTCAGGGGTTAAATTAATTAAATTAATTAATTAAATTATTTTAAAATTATATATTTAGCTAGCTGGGGTGGGTGGAAGTTAGTGGGGAATTGGGGGATTTGGCCTTAGGCTAACTAGCGGTTAACGTTAAAAAAGTTTTAAAATAAACTTTACAAAGTTAAAAATTAAGCTTCAAAAAATGTTTTAATAACGTTTAAGTAAAAAAAATTTAAAAACCCTTTACCTAGTCCAAATAAAAATTAACCCCTTCCCTGCCAGTCGATCACTGCCTACAGCGATCAAATAGAGATCACAGTATTATACTGTGATCTAATTTTTTTTAACCCCTGAGGATTAACTTTTTATTTATTTTTTAACCCTCAGGGGTTCAATTTATTTAATTAATTTAAATATTTTATAACTATGTATTTTGCTAGCTGGGGTGGGTGGGAGTTATGGGAAAATGGGGAATTTGCTGTTGGTGCTGCGTACTGCTAGTTAGGGGTTAACGGTAAAAAAAAAAAGCTTAGAAAAATGTTAAATCTGTAAAAAAGTTTTAAGAAAGTTTAGGAAAGTTTTAAAAAATTAATACGCAAAACAAAAGTTTAAAAACTAGTTTTTAAAAGTAAAAAAATACATTTTAAAAACGCTCATTACCACTACACCTGGAACAAACTAGAGAAAAAAATTATCCCACGCCAAGGTTCAAAATATGCCTTTTGAATCATCCCAGGGTGTATTCTTTAATAAATAGTATGTGTTTGTGGGGAAGTTTCAATAACCAACCGTCTAAACTACTCCAAATTGGAACATGGACACAGCGTAAAACTTCAAAGTTAGAAAAAAACTGAATGGCTGCATCTCAAATGCGCCCCTTCAACATCCACACATACCTGGCAAAGGTACATACAGGGGTATTGCTGTACTCAGCTGACATAGCTGAGCAACATATGAAGTACCGTATATACTCGAGTATAAGCCGACCCGAATATAAGCCGAGGCCCCGAATTTTACCCCAAAAAACTGGGAAAACTTATTGACTCGAGTATAAGACTAGGGTGGGAAATGCAGCAGCTACTGGTAAATTTCTAAATAAAATTAGATCCTAAAAAAAATTATATTAATTGAATATTTATTTACAGTGTGTGTATATGATGAATGCAGTGTGTGTGTATGAATGCAGTGTGTGTGTATGAATGCAGAGTGTGTGTATGAATGCAGTGTGTGTGTATGAATGCAGAGTGTGTGTATGAATGCAGTGTGTGTGTATGAATGCAGTGTGTGTATGAGTGCAGTGTGTGTATGAGTGCTGTGTGTATGAATGCAGGGTGTGTGTATGAATGCAGTGTGTGTGTATGAGTGCAGTGTGTGTGTGTGTGATGCAGTGTGTGTTTGTGTGGCAGAGCCTTGGTGGGGGGGTGGGCATTTTTATAAAAAAAAGAATTTATATTATTTTAATTTTTTTTTGTTATATTATTTTTTTTTATTATTATTATTATTATTATATATATTATTAATATTTAAATTTTTTGTTAGATTATTTTTTATTATTATTATTATTTATATATTATTAATTAATATTATTTAAAAATTTTTGTTATATTATTTTTTTTTATTATTATTATTTATATATTTTTAATTTATTTATTTTTCGTCCCCCCTCCCTGCTTGATACATGGCAGGGAGGGGGGCTCTACTTCCCTGGTGGTCCAGTGGCATTGGCAGTTCAGTGGGGGGAGGAGGGGGGCTGGCAGAGCTGTTACTTACCTCTCCTGCAGCTCCTGTCAGCTCTCTCCTCCTCCGCGCCGGTCCGTGCAGCTCCTCTGTCAGCTCACACTGTAAGTCTCGCGAGAGCCGCACTATGACCCCGCGGCTCTCGCGAGACTTACACTGGGAGCTGACTGAGGTGCTGCACGGACCGGCGCGGAGGAGGAGGGAGCTGACAGGAGCTGCAGGAGAGGTAAGTAACAGCTCTGCCAGCCCCCAGTCTGTATTATGGCAATGTAAATTGCCATAATACAGACTGACTCGAGTATAAGCCGAGTTGGGGTTTTTCAGCACAAAAAATGTGCCGAAAAACTCGGCTTATACTCGAGTATATACGGTATTATACAGTCATAGCACACATAAGGTTTGCAAAATATGCTGCGCAAACTCACTTTGTATGTCAAAAAGGCAGAAAAAACGCTTATTACCACTACATCTGGTACAAGCTAGCGGAAAAATGATCCCACGCTAAGGTTCAAACTATACCTTTTGAAACACCCTGGGGTGTCTACTTTAAGAAATGGTAGGCCTTTGTGGGGTAGTTTGAATTTAAAACCTGCGAAGATGCTTGGAAAATGCACATAGGCCCAGCGTCAAAATTCAAAGTTTGGTAAAAACGGATATGGCTTGGTCTCCTATATGGCACTGTAGCTTCACGAAATAGTGCCAAAGACATTCATATGGGGTGTAATTTTACTCAGAAGACTTAGCTGAGCATAATTTGGGGGGTTTGAACTTAGTGGCACATATGAAATATACAAAACGCCCAGCAAAAATGCAATCCGTATGTAAAAAATGCACAAAATTATTTTTTACCACATACTTTGGCATATATTGGTGAAAAAATGGGGGCATATTAAGGTACAATATGCACCTTATGAGATACCCTGGAGTGTCTACTTTTTACAAATGGTAGGCCTTTGTGGGGGTTTTTTGAACAGTCAAACTGTCATAATACCCCAAATGGAAGCTAAGGCTCATTAAATCCATCTCTCAAAATTCTACTGTGAAAACTGAAAAGGACAGGTATCCTGTGTGGCACTGTAACTTCACAAAATAGTGGCAAAGACATACAATGGGGGTGTCGTTTTACTCAGCAGATGTAACTGAACACAAAATAAAACTTTGTACAGGAATAGCACCCACCAACTTTACAAAATATACACGAGAATTTCTTTGTTATAAGTTTGTGTGCCAAAAACCAAAAAAAACCACAATTTTACTCCAATATTTAGCAGAGGTTGGCGGTGAAATGGCTACGTAGAAAGTGTCAAAACAACCTTAGGTAAATAGCCCGTGATGTCTACTTTATATAAATATATACTTTTGTGTGGCAATTTTGTTTTCTTTTATGGCTATTAAGCTTACAAGACAAACATACCAAATTCTAAAATCGCTCCACATTAAAAGTCTATTTTACTCCTTGTGCTTTGTGACCTGTAACTACCAAAAAAAACTTTAAATCCCAGACACATTGTATATTCTGTAAATCAGAACAACTAAATTTATTTATTTTTAATTACTTTTCTTAACCTGCACTAATTATGCACACATTATTATTGCAAAAACTGTAAAAAAAAAAACACATTTTCATTTTTTTTACATTTTTCTGTATTTTTTTATAATAAATAAGCATTTATATATATGTGTGTTACATCAAATTAAAGCCCTTTCTGTCCTTTAAAAAACGATGTATAATATGTGTTGGTGCAACAAATTAGTAAAATGCAAATTGCAGTTGAACGCAAACAGCAAAAAATGAAAAAAATGCTGTTGTCATTAAGTGAAAGACAAGCTTTTGAAGCTCTGTCCTTAAGGGGCTAAGCATCATCCAAATGAGATTTCAATAGAAGATGAAAACTGACATGTCACAAGATCATTGGACTTTTCTTCATTCAAAAAAGCAGGATCTCTCCCCCCCTGATATTTTTTTTAAGCAGCAGCACATGTTGTTTGTAAAAAGCATAGTATGTATATATATATATATATATATATATATATATATATATATATATATATATATATATATATATATATATATATATATATATATTTTCCCAGGTCCCAGCACTCAATGTTCCCGGTCTTTTCCATGCTCCGGTGCAAGTAATCTCTGACCAATATATAGCATCCAAGTAGAGAGCACTCTGGAGTCTTTGTTTTAGATCAAAATAAATACTGCTTTATTGTGCAGAATACAAAAATGTCGATGTTTCAGTCACAATAGACTTTTCTCAAGACAATTCATGCAATGAATAAACCGTGATTATATATGTTACAACAAAATTCCTATTGGAGGGTGAAAGATTGAAAGCAACAGAATATTAACCAGGTGATTCTTAACTCAATTAAGGTTTGAAAAAGCGACTTAGTGCTAATTAAATACACAGAAAGCTATTTACAAAATAAAAACTAATGATATTAATAATAATAAGTAAACTTAAAAAATATTCACAATATCCAATAGTCCTGTTAACTAGCAATAAGTCCTGATTTTTCTGTCTTGCAATATCCAAATGTCTATTAGCAAAATATTAATATATATATATATATATATA